TAGAAACACCTATAAAGATTTAAGCAAACAGATGAAAGGACTGTATAGTTTAAAGGGACTAAAACTAAACCTGAATCTAACCAGGTCTATAAATCTAAATGCAGATTATAGACAATGCAAAGGATAAAAGGAACATGTTAAAACAACACAAGAAATCCCAATACCTAAATCCAGAATGCTGGAAATTCTACAAGAAAATTTTCTTCAACAAATAAGTGGCAGGAGGGTGGGGGAAGAGAGAGAAACAAAAGGGACAGTTATAGCCTGACTTCAGAATCATGACAGATAAAATGTGTGGACCTTGTTTGGAACCTATTTGAACAAAAAGTTGTAAAAGAGACATTTTTGTGATAAACAGGGAAATCTAAACATGAACCAGGCAACAAATAAGAAACTACAGTTACTTTAGTTAGGTATAATAATGATACTGTAGTTGTATTTTTAAAAATCCTTATTACTTAAAAATATGTACTGAAGCATTTATAGGTGAAATAATCTTATGACTGGGATTTTCTTTAAAATACTCCAGTCACCTTCTCCCACAAAAGAGTTTAGGAGGGGAATGGATTGAAACAAGGATAGCAGAATAATAGTTGTTGACGGTACAGAGATTAATAGGTTAATAGGTACAAAGATTCATTACACAGGTATCCCCCGGTTTTCAAAAGTTCTTGTTATACCACTTCACTTTTATGAGAGACTTACATTAGGGCCAGTTTTTGCTAAATGAAAGAAATTTGAAGAGGATTTTTGCTTTCAGGAAAAAAGTCAAAAAGTCTAAATAGCGTTCAGCATTTGTTTCGCAGCAAGCCTTATAAAGGCAGCATGAAACCCAAGCAGCGAGAGTGGCCCCCCCAGCTCCTTCCCCAGGATTTACACTCAGCATCTCAGCATCAAGCTGCCTTCACTTTGAACTGTGTCTGAACATCTGTGCTTTCTCTCGATTTATTTTGTGCATCCATTAGCAAGATGTGTCCTGAGGTATCAGAACAGCCTAAGAGAGCTCATAAGGGATTTATACTTAGAGTAAAACTGGATGTGATTAAGCGTATTGATATGATTTGGTAGCTTATTTTCTGGGTCTGGGAACATCCCAAAATTTTCCATGTAAATTAATGGTAATTGTTTGTTTTACACCATTTTGGCTTATGAAAGGTTTCATAGAAATGCTGTATTTGCAGTCAGTGGAGGAAAACTTTACTATTCTCTATTTTTGTTTATATTTAACAATTTCCATTATAAAAAGTTAAATTTTTTTAATGAAAAGAGTGAGGAAAAAAATTCAGGGATTGCAAATAGTGTGTAAGATCTTTGCAGTTATATTAACTATTGCTTAAAACACTAGATGAAGCATGGATATATTTTCATGATTACCTACTTAAATTAACTATTTTAATTAAATTCCCATGATTAATTACTCAAATTAAGAGATATACCCCAAACACGATACATCTCAAGATGCCGCCCAACTATATAGTATATAAATCGTGACAGACTGTTCCATGCCATTGAACCAAAATCTTACCCATGAACACTTACCTAAATAATAAATGTTTGGTGCCACCCACCCACCATAGGGTAACTCTTGCAAGTGATTTGAGGCTTCATGGTTTCCCCCAATGAAGATTGTGAGAACTGGGGCCTTTTTCTCTCCAGAGTAATACCTAGAACATAAGAGTAAAGTGTCCATTGGTATAGCAGAAATTAGGCATAGAGAAAAGCAATTAGACATACCTATATAATTAGGCATAGCAAAAACGCAAAATAAGGTCTGAAGGAAAAATCTGAGCTCATCATAAAAAGTTAAAAAGTTCTTGCTAAACGAATTGCCCATCCTTGCCCTTAAGAATGAAGGGCTGCCACCTTGGGTTTGAAGCCAGTGAGGTCAAGAACTTAGTTCACTGCTATAACCTTAGCCTCCAAACCGGGTACAGCACAGGGCAGGCGTCCAACAAAAACTCCAGCATCATTCAATGGACTAGTCCCAGAGTCCTATCAAGTACAAGGTAGATTAACCTGTCAGCTTCTTCCTCCAGGCGTTGCCCTCAGACTGCGACCCCTTCCGAAACAGGTAAGACAGGTGAATGAAGGGAAGTGACATTTACTAAACGCCCGTTCCTAGAAACACAGCGTGCACAAAGACGGGAACTAAGGGAGACAGCGAGTCAGTGGCACAGGGGACTCGAACGCAGTCCGGGTTCTCCTCCCAGTGCCGGCTAGTCACACCTCACCTGTAGAAGGTCTGCATGTGGCGGTACTTGGGTGGCACCGCCATGCAGCGCAGGTCCGCCTCGTTGCGCACCGCCTGGAAGTCGCCGCAGCACAGCAGAAGGTCTATCGGCCCCGGGCCGCGCCGCTCCGCCAGCGCCAGCGTCTCATAGATCTTGTCCAGCTCGCCGTGGCAGCAGCCGGCCACAGCCACCCGCATCCTGCCGGCCAGAGGTGGGGAGCGCTGCCCGCAAGCCCCTGGAGCACAGCAAGCCCAGGCGGAAGGGCAGAGACCAGGCGGACGGCTCAGCTCCCGCCAACATTAACAGAGACACCGCCCCGCTGACACTCCGGCAACATCACTCACTTCCGGTTCCCAACTCTCGCGAGAGAGGGATCGGGACGGCTCCATTAACCCTAGGATTCCAGAGAGCTTTCAAATTGACTCCAACTTCCCTTGTCTTCGAGGCTCTTTAAGTTTTAACATTCTGACAGATAATTTTAAAAAAATCACAACCCGGGGGGGGAGAAAAAAAAGAAGGAAAATCCCCAGAAATAGTTTAATGCGATAAAATTAAATCAAACTAGTGAGCAGGTGCGATTGGCTAATTCTCTAGGACCAGCCTCTCACAGCCAAGGTAATTGCCTGAAAGTGAATTAGAAGTTAAACAAAAAAATTTTTTAAAGAACCCCAAACTAAAAATAATTTAAAAATAAAACTTAAAAAAACAGGATTTTTAAATTATCTCCACGAAGAGTTTCTAAAATGATAAAGTTTTTTTGTTTTTGTTTTTTCTCTAAAGGGGTCAGGTACTCTTCGTTTTCCTAGCAAATAGTTATTTGCATAACTAGACTGCAAGTTCAACTAAAGCATATGGATGTCTACAAAACGCCCAGTAGAGAAAACTACCAAACTGACAATTGAAGAATGAGTGGCCAAGGCAGAACCAAGCAAACAAAACACTTCTGGCAAATCTAATCAAAATTATACAAAAAATAGTTAATCCAACTGTGTTCATCTTTTGAAAAAACTAGATAAACAATATTCTAGAAACGATACCAAAATTAATTCAAAAGGAAGCAAAAGATGTATGCAAAACAATGACAATAAAAAGACACTGAAAAAGCTGTCAAGACATAAATCCATCAAAAGACATTGTACCTAGAGTGATTTATGGGCAATTTATTTCAAATTGACAAGGAAGATATAACTTTCATAATATTTAAATTGGTCCAGAGGTAGAAAAAGATGGAAATCTAATATTTTAAATTATTTTTTAATATTTTAGCTTCCTTTTGTATTGGATTTTTGAAATATATAAGAATCAATGCTTTTTACAACATTGCTAAATTTAACTTTTTCCATTTGATTTTTAACTTACAGGAATTCTTTTTCTGGATCCCTTTTTCCTTCATGTAAAAATTTGTAATTGAGGGCTAACTTACTTGAAGCAACATGAAGAAATCAAATCTTAAGTGCACATTTTGATGCATTTTTACATATGTACTCATTCATATAACCACCATCCATATCAAGATATAAAGTATTTCCATCCTTCCTCAAGATTCCCTTGGCTTCCTCCCTAGACCCTTCTATTTGTATCATGCATTGTTGTGATACGAGAGCCATGAACTGTTGGTGAAAAGCTCAGGTCGTCTAACTTTTTCACGCAGGCTTTTCAGCACTTCCAAATGGTAAACTTGGTTAACTGTTTTGTCCAGTTGGTACAAATTCATAATGAATAATCCCTCTAGGTGGGCTAATATGCTCAAAATTGTAGCATATTTTTAGCATATTTCCAAAGTTGACATCTGGTTTCTTGCTTTGTCTTGGTAATTGTTGGGTGCCTCTATCTAGATACTGCCTTTGCTCTAATAGAATCAGGGAATTTCTTGCACATTAGATCTGAGATCTGTTTTCCCCATGAAACCACACAGTTTGAGAGCACCTGCCTGTGCAGTGAGTAGCCCTTCACTTTCTAAAAAAGAGTTAATCTTTGCTGTTCATTCTATCCATTTTTTTGTAACAGCCTTCCTGTTTCTCCTCATTCAGAATGGGGGGGGGGCTTTCAATTTAGTTTGATTCTCTTTGGATTTGAGAAAATCAGTGAGAATTCTCAAGTTTCTTGATTCACTGGTATTATCTCTGGAAATGGGGTGTGGGTTGGGAAGAGTGGGAGCACTTCTTTACCCCATTCATAATCTTCTATTTCCTTTATTGACACAAGTTCTTGAATGTTATGGCATTACGTTATTATTTCCTATCCATCTCAAAAGGAGAAAATTCACATTGACTGATACCTTAAAAATGTGTGGTGAAATCTACATGGAAACCACAAGAAGATACCATTGCACACCTAACAGAATGGCTAAGTTTAACAGCTAAATGATACCAAGTGCTGTTGTGCATATGGAATAATTGGGGTGAGACTGAGCAGAAGTGTTATTTAAAACTTCTTAGGTACAATCGGACCTTGGTTTGTAAATACCATTCCCCTCTAAAAGAAATCAAGTTTGCTTATCGATGTGGTCGGTTCCAGGGCAGAGAAAGTACAAAATGAGACTGGATCATCTTGCACCAGAAAGCAAGGCTGTGTCTGAAGAACCTGGGATATCAAAAGGATACCGATTAAAGGTTTTTCTACTGGCCAAACCTGAAACAATTTCAGCACCGAAATGCATAATCATAGTAACAGACTATAGTTGTTGAATAAAGTAGGGATCAATTATTCCATGCTGATATAAATAAATAAATAAATAATATAGAAAAGAGAGCTCTTATTACACAAGAATGCTGTTGGGGATGAAACTAATTCTAAAAAATATGTATTTCATAATAAAAAAAATTAACTTTAAAAATAAATAAATAAATAAATAAAATAGTTAAGAAGGCAAAAAAAAGAATGCTGTTGGGGGGGGAGGATGCTAAAAAAATAACACGTTTCCTCCGACCTTCCAGTTCTTCTAGTTGGGCTAATAATCACATTAATGGAGACAGATTAACAGAAGAAAATCAAATTTTAGTATGTGCACACTGAGAATTCACATAAGCATGAAAATTCCAAAGATAGTGAGGTAAAATTGGGTAATATGTCATTTTGGATAAAGGAGAAAGGAGGCACAGAGGTCTGAGATTTCAAAAGAAATAAGCAATTTACTGGTAGTTGATGAAGAGCAGAACATACACAGCAGGTAAATTCTTGCTTCAACAGGACAGAAGGGGTGATCTAGTTACCAGAACCCTGCCTGGACTTCTCCCATCCATCATACTCAATTCGATAGGCTACAGGAGAACATCCTAAAGTTTCCTTCACGAAGCAGGCCTTTCCCTCTTAAACTCTTAGGCAGGAAAGAGGGAGGGGCCAAAGTTCTTTCTGAGCCTTTTGTTTTTAATAACCAGCTTAGAGGCAATATCCCAAAAGGCAGCTTTAGTGTGGCAAAACTTTGGTTCCCTTCAATTGATTGATACACATAGAAAGAAAGTTGGAGTTAGAAATCATCATTTGACCACCACTATAATCATCATCTTTACCACTGTAATTGTTTCAAGCAATAAATCTTTCAGGAATGCTAAAACTACTGGGTAAAACTTTAGAAGAGTAACAGCATACTTACATAGTCTCAATGTATCTATTATTCGAGATTACTTATATAGTCTCAAAGTATCTTTCCAAAAGATATTTATTATAACAAAGAGAAACATAGGGATTGGATGCTAGTGACAACACTTTAACAGAGTGATCCAAGTTAATCTTACTAGGAATGGACAACCACATCATGTGCCTTCTGATATGACATACATCACTTCTATGTATTTCTGCCAAAAATACATAACCTGAATCTCATCTTGAAAAATGGCAGACAAATTAAAATTGAGAAAGATGTTGAAAAAGATGTTTTTTTTAAAAAAAAATGATATGATGGTCATGAAATATAAGGACAGACTGAGAACTATTAAAAATTAAAAGGCTGAAGATTCATAACAGAATGCAATGTGGTACTATAAAAGACATTATTAGGGCAACATCTGAATAAGCTGTGTAAATTAGATAGTATTGTATCAGTGTTAATTTCCTAATTTTGATAATTTTACTCTGGTTATATAAGGAAATTTTCTTTTTGAAACACACTGAAATTATAAATATAAATACATATCATGTATCGTTCTCTGTCCATCTATGTATTGCAGGGGAATTGCAGCTAAAAGGAATCACATTTCTTAGACACCCTTTGCCTGCTAGGGTCTGGATTAGGTTTTGCAAATGAGAAACACTTTTTTGAGATGTTAAACAAAAAGATTTTAACTTCCAAGGCTGAAAGTCTTTGTAAAAGAAAAGGTTCACCAGGCCATTGCTAGGGGGGGAAAAAAGACCAGTCTTGGGACATGGGATGCAAATCACCAGTAGCATGGCTAGGTAGGAAAGACAACATATCTGTGGTCCCCGATGTTTGCATGCGTTTTTGTACATCAAGTAGTGGGGAGAAAGATGTAAGCCGTTCTGATAGGATTTACATTAGCTATAGACAAAGGGGATGGGAGAAGGTGAAGAAGAGGTGTCTGCTCCTGTGAATTAGCTATGGGCAGCAGATTGGAAAATTCGTATGTAAATAAGAAGTGGAGGCTCCTGGAGTTGCAGGACTTGTCAGAGCCGGCCCATAGCTCTTAACAGGCTAACTGTTCTTTCTCTCACTCTCTGGCCACTATAATTTTAATTTAGATCATCTGAGAATTGTTTTCTTGTCAGAGATTATAGGTAAAAGAAAGGTTTCTTTTCTCTTCTGGCTCTGGCAATGGTGATGACAGCGGCACACTCCGAACTCCTTCAGTGGTGAACTTCCTGCTGTTCCTGACCTCAAGTAAAACACTCCCTCCCTGTTTGCATCTTTAGTCCTTCCAGCAATTTTGTAATCTTTTTGATGAAAAAAAAACTAGAATGGATCTGGTTTCCTGTGTGTTGTAATAGCCAAGAGACATTGTTAAAGTAAAAGGCAATAAACAGATGCTTTCAACCATAAAAAAAAAAACAAAACAAAACAGAAACCTCCAGGGAGACAATACTCACTGGCCCTTCTTGAAAAAAGTGACTTAACAGTGAAATCCAGCCAAATAAGAGTTGGATAAAAATAAAGGACACAGAAGGGAAGAACTGTGTGTAAAAGATGGATGATTAAAAATAAAGCAGAGCAACTGGATAAGAAATGCACAGTGCCTGGCATGTAGTATGTACCCAGTATATTAAGTGCCCAGGGTACTTAATGGATGAATATAGGGCAGTTATGGAAGGCCATGCTTATAAGGTGACATACTGAGCAGAAACCTTCATGAATAAGGGAATAAGCCATGGAAAT